AAGTTAATTAACAAACGGAGATGTAACAACGTTTTATTAACTGTCATTAGTATATATTATTTCGTGATTATCATCGTGTTGAAGTTATTATATTTTAACATACATATTTTCATTAATGTAATTTTTTGTTTTAAACTTAGTCATATTTATACTGATTCTGAAATATTGTTATTTGTAGTTAGAAACATCTGGTAAAAAAGCATTTAGAAGTAATAAATTCAACTGATTTCAAGATACGTAAATTTGTTATATGACAAAAATTAGGCATATTTCACCATTTTTATTTAACTTATGATGGTTTCAATAATTAAGTCAAATTAATGATTAAACGTAAAGCAGTAAAATATATAAAGCTAATTCATTATAAATTTTTCCCTAATTTATGGTGTCTTTGTAGTTTCTTATATTTTGTGTTTATAGTCTCATTTAGAAACTGTATTCTGTAGTTTACATAAGGAAACATCAACGTGCACGATGACTTGGTTACAAGGAATTGGTACATGAGGAGTAAAATATTAATAAAAAATTCATTCGTTGTTCACAAACTGAAATAATCATAGGTATTTGTCCAAATCAACATTTTAAAATCAACTTTAAACTATTTTTCGTTCAACATATTGTTGCACACATTGTTCAAAATGCTTCCTTCGTGTGGAGAAAATTGTAAGACTTCATGTTCGTTAGGCACAGCACTAACATTACATGTTTATTTTATAACACGTTCAAATAAATAAGATAATATTTTTTGAACTTGCAAAATGAACTTAGAAATTTAAACCTTCAACGTGAAGAGTATAATTTAGCTACAGAGAAACGAAAAATACAAGGAATTGGTACACGAGGAAGAAAGATTTAATTAAGTAATTTATATATTGTTAACGAACTAAAATAATCACATGTGTTTATCCAAATCGTTATTTCACATTTAAAGTATTCATTGGTCAACGTAGTGTTGCAAACATTGTTAAAAATGTTTCCTTTGAGTGGTGGAAGTGGTAAGATTTTATTGTTCGTTAGGCATAGAACTAATATTACACTTATATTTTATAACATATTCGAGTAAACAATGTAAAGTAATTTTAACTAGTTAAAATGTAGAAATTTAAAAATTAAACGTAAAGGGCATAATTTAACTATAAAAAGACGAAACGTTAATGAATCGACTTTGTTTTGTTTGTTTGTTTGTTTG